TTTTTTTTTTGGAACTGGGGGTCGAACCCAGGGCTTTGCGAATGCAAGGCAGACGCTTTGCCACTGAGCTACATCCCAGCCCAGGACACTCTCATACACATGAACACACAAAGAAATCCAGAATTTCAAAGCTGAGTGAGGTGGTGCACATATGTAATCCCAGCTACTCAGGAGGCTGAGGCAGGAGGATCTCAAGTTTGAGGACAGCCTGGTAATTGGGCAAGACCCTATTTCAAAATAAAAAGGACTGGGGATATAGTTCAGTGGCACAGTGCCCCTGCGTTCAAGTCCCAGTACAACGAAGAAAAAGAAAAAGAAAAACAGAATTTCAGGCTGTACCCTAGATCTGCTGAATAAGAGCTAACAACTTTTAAAAGATCACTAGATGCACGTCAAAGTTTGGGAAGCATTGCTTTAAATATTAGGGACTGTCAATATAAGAATTACAACACCTATCTAGGAATTCTGGATCATTATGACATTATGATCAACAACTTGTCACTGGAACTGGACACAATGGATCATTTGGTCCATTCCAGTCTTTTCAGTCAAACACCAATCAAATCACCTTATACAACTACTGACAAAACACTCATGGGTTCCCACTTCTCAGATGTAAACAAGAGTGGAGACAAGCATCCTCTATTCCTTCTGTCCTTCCTACAGCATCTGCATCAGATCTCTGCATCCCGGAGCTGACTGCCATGAAACGTGACTACATTTGCAAGCTTGCCCACTGTCCTACTGAACATWCATTTCCCAGGCGATGCCCCAACCCCTCCTTCAAGGTAATCTCCTTCCTCTGACATGGCAGCCTTCCTTGGTCTTCCATAAGTACCCATGTGATCCCTCTCATAGACGCCACATGACAGTTCTCTCCACACACTCCACATGGCACCCCTCTATGCAGACTTGGTCCCGGTCCCCCGCACAGTCACCTCTGGGTCCTAGGACCTGCTCCTCACAACGCTTCTTTTGCTGTCCRTGAATCTCATACTCCTCAGCCAGGAAGGGATGCCTCGCCGGACTTGCCCTTCGTTCCCCAAACTGCAGGGCGAGCTCTAGAGCCCGGCAGCCGGGCATCACTGATATCCACTGCCCCCGGGCAGGTCCGGGTCCTTAGAGACCTCAGCCCTCAGGCACCGCTACTCCCACGGTTTCTTACCTTCTCAGACCCCGGCGGCTCCACCGAGTCTGAGGCGAACTCCAACCCCGGACCTCTAGGCCGCAGGCCCCGCTTGACCCTCCGTTCCCAGCGGCTGCCGGCCTCTGGTCGCATCTTCCTCCATCTCGACTAGGATCCCGGTACTGCCGGAACCGGAAACTGGGACGCTGTCATTCCCGCCCCCCCCCC